CCGATGAGGCAGTGGACGTTATTGATGCGGTCCCCCTGAATGAGCGTCCTGCTGATTACGATTCTGGAGAGGAAGCCGAATCCGGTTCTGATATGGAGGTGTATGATCTGGGCATCCCCACGGATATGGAGCGTCACATCTGCCCGATTAGGAGCGCCCTTGACCACGACCAAGTCCTCTCCCGTGTGGCCCTCAATAAAATCCGCACCTTCCTTCCTCCGCCGTTCGTCTGGAGTGTGAGAGGCGCTGAGCATGTGATGAGGAGACGTCCGGGGATGATCATGCTCCACCTGGATTCCGTTGAAGCCGGGCTGCGGTTTCCACTTCATGCGTTTTATGTGGAGTTCTTCCACTGCTTCCAGGTGGCTCCGGCGCAATTCATGCCAAATTCTTACAGATTCATATCGGCCTTCTTGGTGCGCTGCAAACTTGCGGGGGTCGATGCCACTTTGGAGCTCTTCCATTATTTCTACCGCGTCACTCCTCAGAATGCCGACGGGTATCTGAGCGTGGCCGCACGTCCTGGGAGGCGGCTGTTCAAGAACTACCCCTCGTCCATCCACGACTGGAAGAACCGCTTCTTCTTCCTTCGATACGACGGGCCTCCTCTCCCTCTCCGGTGGAATGGGTATCCCCCAAAGATTGAGTCACCGGAGCCGACCGACGATCTGCTTTTGGATGCGGAGAAGGTGTTGGAGGGTGGCGTCCGTCCCATAGCCGGATTTCTGACCTTCGAGGCACTCTCTGGGGCAGGCATAGGTACCGCCCGTGTTCCTGGACTTTTTCTACCCTTCGACGCTCGTCTCGGGGCCCGGGCGGTCCTGTCCTTCGAGGTGAGTGTCTTATTCTACTTTCCACTCGGCTTCTAATCCTTGTTGTTTCTTGCAGGTTCACCGCCCGATAGAGACCAAATGAATCACGCCGAGTGTCTGAAGACCAGGAAAGCCAAGGCGGCCGCGGCTAAAGCTGCGATGGCGAAAGCCAAAAACGCCCCCCGCCTCGGAGTCCAACTCCTCGGCCTCTGAAGCTGCCAGGCGAACCGCCGAGGGTGAGCAACATTTAATCGCCACCATGCTGGCCCAGGGTTCCGGGGCCCCTGCTCTCGAAGCCGCCCTTCCGCCGCCGGTCGTCCCCACGAAGACGGCTCCTCAGAAGGGGACAGAGAAGGTCCCTGAGAAGAAACAGAAGCGGGGCCGCGAGGCAGGCTCCACTGGCCCCCTGCTTGAAGATGCCGGGTCCCTGCCTTTGAGCCGCCCGGCGGAAGAACTTTGGAGGGAGATGGCCCTCAAGGCCGGTCTCGAGCTGCCCCGCCGTTCGTCGTCCGAGGCGACAAGCGCTGCGTTGGCAGCCGCTCTTCAGGTAATTCCTCCTTGCTAGATCTGAGCATATATATTTTTTCCTTGACGTTCATCCTTTGATCCTTTTTTTTTTTTTTTTTTCTTCTGTCATCCAGTCTGGGCTCCTTGTCCTTCAAGCTGAAGCTGCCCGGGAGGCCGATCTGATGGAGGCCAAGGCTAAAGCCGATGCGGCCATTGCTGCGACTCGGGAGGCCGCCCGTCGAGCTGAGGCGGAGGCTGCAGCCAAGGGGAGGGAGATTGCAGCCCTGCAGGCTGAATCCCGCAGCCAGTTGGCCGGCCTTGAAAGAGCCGGTTTCAAGCTTGTTCCGGTGCTCCCTGCTGCCAAGGACACCACTCCGGAGTGGTTGGTCGACACCTCCGGCTACAGGAACACTGGGGAGTTCATGGACTCTGCCAAAGACTATTGTGCCGGAGTCTTCGCCGACTTGTTTGCCGCGGCTCTGGAGAAGATACCGCCCCGCCAGCGTCTGGCCCGCGGCGTCCGGCTACTTGAGGGTTCTCCTCTGTCCCGCAAGTTCCTGTACGAGGTCGGCGACAGCACCTTCTCAGCCGGGTATAACGAAGGGGTTAAGGCCACCCTCCCCATCTTTTCGAGGCTGCAAGGGGCCGACTTCGAGCTGGCAGCGCATACAGACGACGATCTGCTGCTCCAGGCTTTAGGGAAGCTAGCGAGGGACCAACGGCGGGCGGAAGCAAAGGCCAGAGGGGAGGTTCCGGAACCCCCCACCCCAGAGCCCGAGGCCGAGGAGGAAGAGCAGACTCCGGGAGGCAGCCGGCCTGGATCCCCTTTCTTTGTGTAATGTAAACTGTATTTTTCTATTCTAACTTCTGTAATATCCGGCCGTTAGAGCCGAGGAATATACATCCTTTTGCCCATAATTATTCCATGTTCATGATCTCTGCTTGTTACCTTTCTTCCTTTTGTCCTTTGTTGTATGGAAACTCCCTCTTTGCTCTGGGGACATTCTCTGTCGCCTAGTCTGCGTGGACGTTCATCTCTGTTCCCTCTTTGCTCCGGACGGCGACACCCGGCGCCGATACTGGCTGCCCCTCCTGCAACCTCATTCCGATGGCAAGACGACGCTCGTCGGGGGTTGACCAAGCAGCACGCTTTGCAAGTGTGGTCATACGCACACCGGAGATTGCCTCAATGCTTGCTAACGACGTTCTTCTATCGTCGCGCGGCATGAACGCTAAAGCCCCGCGCGAGGGTGTCCGCCTGTCCTGCGTTTTCATCTGGCACGAAGTGTGGAAAGGCGACGTTCGTCCTCCGTGCACCCTTAATGGACGTGATTTTCACTTCACCCTTTTTGTGCCCATCGTCTGTAGTATAAGGAATCCTTCCGGCGTCTCGACGCATCTTTACCGCCCACGCGGTATCTTGACAGTGGGAAGACGTTCGTCGGTAATTGCCTTGTCAATACGCGTTTTGAGTATGGACATATGGGCGTATTTCCCTGGAACAGCGCTTGGTGACGACGTTCGTCCACATTTGCGTGACATGAAAAACTGGTGTACTGCAAGAGGGACGTCGCCAGTTGGTGCGTGTGCCCTCATCAGCCGCCGACGCTAGGGTCAGCCGGGGAGTTAAGGAAGCAAGGGAAGGCGAATGTCTTCAAACTCCTCCGAGCCGGTGAGCCCTCCTCAAGGGACGTTCGTGGTACGGACCCGGATGTCCTTGTGTTGGTTATGCGGCGACAAAATCGAGACGCCTTAAATACCGTGGTAGGTACCGGCACCCAGGCGCCACGTGCCCTGCTTCGGTTGGGGCAATTCCGCGGTGTTGCCTATAAATACCCAGGATCCAAGTGATCCACTCACATTTCTCCTTACGCTGCACAATTGCCTTCTCTCTCTAGACTTCTCTTTGATCGTATCGGAAATCTCGAACCCCAAGGTACCGTTCGTTGTCATGTCTTCCGAAAGTCGCTTTGATGATGGGTGTTCTTCCGGTGATGACCTGGAGTATTATGAGCGGGGAATGCCACCCCGGCCTCCCCGTTATAGCCTTAACTTCTCATGCGTCCGGCGTCAAGTTCAACGCCTGACGAACGCTGACAAGCGACTGATCAGCCAATGGTTTTATCCCCCAAGGACCTACGACGATCGGCGTCTACGAAACCCCATGCGCCACCTGCCCGGCTATGTGGTGGTCCACCTAGATTCGGTGATAGCCGGGCTGAACTTCCCCCTGCACAGCTTCCACTTGGAACTTTTCAGGGCCCTTGAGATTGTTCCTGCGCAGCTCGTCCCCGCCGCTTATCGGATAATCGCTGGCTTCATCATTAGATGCCACAGCGTCGGTGTGGCCCCCACCGTGGACCTGCTGCACCACTTCTTTCGTCTGTCCACCTTCGGACGTACAGGGTATTTGACCCTGACTGCCCGTCCGTCCATGGTTCTATTCTCGAACAACGCTGGGAACCCAGACGGTTGGGAAGAGCGCTTCTTCCTGGCCGGAGTAGGCTCACCGATGCCATTCTCTGATCGGTGGAATGCCTACCCTGTGAAGACGATCCCGCCGCCCATGACGGACGAGGAGCTTGGATATGCCAAGCACATAGCCGGACTTGGCATCCAGAACCTCCGGTTGCTGGTGGCCGAGCCCTTCAAAGCTCAGGCTGGATTAGGTGCGTCCGTTTGTCGTGGGTTCGGTTGTACTTGTATTGCTTTAATCTCTCTTCGCTGTTATGGTTCTGAACGTCTTGATTCCCTCTATGCAGGAGTTTTTCCACCCACGTCCATCATGCGCCGAGATAATACCGCTCCGTCTGCCGCCGGTCGTGGGCACAAGGGGCATGACAAGCCCGGGAAGCCGCTCGTCCCCAAGGTTGAAACTCGGGTGACCAGGGCCCGGACTGAGGATGATTTGGGCGCCGGCGTCTCCAAGAGGCCGCGCGTCGAGGGTACAGCCTCCAAGGCCATCATAGTAGCCGACGACTCTGATGGTGAGCCCGGGAGCCCCCTTAAGCGGAAGCCTGCCTCTCGGGGCAAGTCCCGTCCTTCTCCCCCACGAACTTCTGATGTTCGTCGTCTCCGGGATGATGATGCCCAGGTCGCTAAGGGTTCTGACGATGCTCGTCCTCCTTCGCCCCCAAAAGCCAATGGGTCCTCCCTTGGTTTGATTGAGTTCTCCGGGGTTGGTCCACGCAAGGAGTCAATGATGCTCTTTGGTCAAACAGCATCCTCTATATGGTGCGGCCTGAATCTCAAGGTCCCCCAGGACTTCGCTGCTCAGGAGGCACCCGAAGACCTTCTGGAGTGTGGTCAGAGCACTTTGGACAAAGCCGGGCTCTACTTCCACAGGGCCCGGATGGCCTTCGAGCACCAAGGCAGGGAAATGGCCAGGGTCCGGGCCGAAAGCGACGCCCTTCTGAGGAATGCAAAAGGCAGGGCCGGCACTCTTCAAGAGAAAGCCGATGCCTACGATAAGCTCGTCCAGGAGAATGCCTCTCAGAAGGAGCTCCTCAAGAAGCAGAAGGCCGAGCTCGTGGATCTTCGCAGCCGGATGTGGGCCGTGGAGCAGGCCAAGGTGGAACTCCGCCAGACGGGCGTGGACAATCATGTCCCTATTTATGAGGCCGATGTTGCCAAGATTAAGGAGTCTGGTTCCATTGCCTTTCAGAAATCCAAGGCTTATACTGGCGCCATCCACACCATGGCTATGAAGTTCCTCCCGCGGCTCGTTGGCGAGTTCCTGGCCACCTGCCCGGATGCCTACCAGGATGGGGTTAAATTGCTCCAGGCCACCCCCACCGGACGTCGTTTCCTTGACGATCTCGCCGATGACACCTACCGCAAAGGTATGGTTGGGCTAGTAGCGGAGAATCTCCCGACGTTCGAGCGTCACTTTGGGGCTCCCTTCGATCCGGAGGCGGCTGGTTTTGACGTCTTGATGGCAGACGCTCATGCAGGGGCCCTTGAGCTGCTGAAGGAGCAAGAGGAAGCCGCTAAAAGTGACAAGTCCAAGCAGGCCCCTTCCCAAGTTCCAGCTTCGGACGCCGATCGGCTGTGATTCTCCGTTCATTATTTTGTATTGTACCCTCATACATTGTAATTTTCCGGCCAATAGTGCCGAGGAATAAAAATCATTCTTTGCTCCATGCTCGTCTGGCATTTTTTTTTTTTTTTTTTTTTTTTTTTTGGAGTCTTTTAGTCTTCGTTCGTCCTTGGTCCTTGGTCCTACCGGCGTCCCTACCTCGAGGAGACGTTCGGTATCCGCAGACATCGCAAGGAAGAACAGGTTTATCTACATCGAGATTCCCCCCTTCTTTCGTTCATCCGTGGTCCTTTTAGCCTTACCGGCGTCTCTTGCTTCGAAGAGGACGTTCGGTACCTAAGGAACTCGCAGGGACGAACAGGTTTACCCTCACGGGTTCCCGTCTTCGTTATCCCACGTCCATCGATCCATGGTCATTTGTGGGATAAGCAGGTTTATCTTGGCAGGCTCCCTTGGTTCGTCTAGCCCCCTCCACGTCTCTACTAATCTCTACATCGAGAGGTGTTCGCCTTCGGCGGTGGGGGAAGATCTGGCACACCCGGGCAAGATTCCCTTCCGTGTAGGAGCTTCTCTCCTCTTCTCCCCATCTCTTTTCTTTTTTTTTTTTTTTTTTTTTTTTTTTTTTTTTTAAGGGAGGTAATCTTCGTTCGTCCTTGGTCCTTGGTCCTACCGGCGTCCCTACTTGAGGGGACGTTCGGCATCCGCAGACATCACAAGGAGGAACAGGTGTATCTGCATCGAGATTCCCTGTGCTTCGTTCGTCCTTGGTCCTTGGTCCTACCGGCGTCCCTACTTCGAGGAGACGTTCGGTATCCGCAGACATCACAAGGAGGAACAGGTGTATCTGCATCGAGATTCCCTTCTTTAGCCGTCGTTGGCAAGAAACAGAAGTGATGTAAAAAACAGGGGGCCTTTATCATTGACGACGTCCGGTCATTTTACATGGGAGTGGAAATACAACAAGGACATCAGCCTCTAACTATTGATAGAACTTCTTCAGGTGTTCTACGTTCCACATCCCGGCATGGTCCCCCTCCAGGGTGTGGAGGAGGAACGTCCCCTGGTTATATCTTCTGATGACCCGGTAAGGCCCTTCCCAGTTCCTCGCCATCTTGCCGCCCTCGAGCGGCTTGCTCTTCTCTCTTTTCCTGAGTACGAGGTCCCTGGCCTCTATTTCGCGGAATTTCACGGCTTTGTTGAAGTATCTCTGGGTGGCCCGGTGATATTCTTCCATGCGACGAGCCGCTAGGTCCCTCCGTTCCTCAATGAAATGGAGCTCCGCTCGTAGGTTGGTCTCGTTGTCCTCCGGCTGGAAGTGCTTGGTGCGGTGTGTAGGTACCAATACTTCCGTCGGTACCTTAGCTTGGAACCCGTAAGCTAAGGCGAAAGGGGTCTCCCCAGTCGCCGTTCTGGGTGTTGTCCTATATGTCCACAAGACATAATTCAGCTGTTCCGGCCAGGTGGAGGCGTAGTCTTCTAACTTCTTTTTGATTCCGTCCATGATGGTCCGGTTCATGTTCTCCACTTGGCCGTTGGCTTGCGGGTACGCCACCGAGGCCTTAGAGTGCCTGATGCCCCACTTTGCCAAATATGCCACGAAGCCTCTGCCGACGAACTGCCGGCCGTTGTCAGTGATGATCTGCTCTGGGATCCCGAAACGGCAGATGATGCTCTGCCAGACGAACTTCTGGCATTGGAACTCAGTAATGGAGGCCAATGGTTCGGCCTCGACCCACTTCGTGAAATAATCAACTGCCACGATGACGAACTTCCTTCCTCCAGCAGCCGTGGGCAGAGGACCCAGCAGGTCTATGCCCCACCTAGCAAAAGGTAGTGCGATGGTCATCGGGGTATAGAAACTCGCTGAGCGGCCAGGGACAGGTGCATACTGCTGGCATACTGCACACTTTCGGGTGTGATTGAAGCAATCTTGCTGTATGGTCGGCCAGTAATAACCTTGCAGGATGATTTTCCTGGCCAAGGTCCGGGGGCCCTGGTGGCTGGAGCAGATCCCTTCATGTATTTCCTCGATTACCGCCGCTGCCAGGCTCGGCGGGAGGCATCTGAGGTAGGGTCCGCCGAACGTCTTCTTGTAGAGCTGTCCGTCTATAAGTTCAAAGTTAGGGGCACGCCTCTTTATCCATGCGGCTCTTCCTGTACTACCATCACCTTCGGGCTCAGGGAGTGTTCCATCTCTGAGATAATCTGCTATCTCCTTTGCCCAGTTAGGTTCGGCAACGGAGATAACCTCCACCTGGATGACGTCCGTCGCCGGTGTTAGGAACACCTCCTGCCTAACGAAGCCTCTGATGTGCCGGGGGATGCTTGATGCCGGATCATCGGTTGGGGGGTTGCTCAGTTTCGACAGTATGTCCGCCTCTGCATTCTCCACCCGCGATACCTGCTCAAGCACCACCTGCTCAAATTGTGCGGTCTGTTCCTCCGCCAGCTCTTTGTAGACTTTCATTCTCTCTTCCCTGGTTTCTGCCGTGCCGTTCATCTGGGTTACCACCAGCTGGCTGTCCATTCTCACCTTCAGACGAGCCGCTCCGAGGGCTTTCGCGCATTTCAGTCCTGCGATAAGCGCCTCGTATTCAGCCTCGTTGTTGGTGACCCTGAACTCGAATTTCATAGAGTAGTAGGCCTTGAAACCTTCGGGGGAAGTGATCACCGCTCCCCCGCCACAGCCCCGCGCACTCGAGGCCCCATCGGTGTACATCTCCCACCAATTATCGAAGTTGTTGCTGTCATGGGTTTCGTCCTCGGTGCGCGCGGTGCATTCTGCAATGAAGTCCGCCAGTGCCTGCCCCTTGATCGTCGGCCTTGGTTTGAAGTCTACGTCATACTGGCCGATCATCAGGGACCACTTGGTTATCCTCCCGCTCGCCATTGGATTCCTGAGGATGGTGGCGAGGGGTTGCGTTGTGTAGACGGTCACCGGGTGTGCTTGGAAATACGGCGCCAGGCGCTTGATGGATGCAATCAAGGCAAGGATCGTCTTTTCCATCAGTGTGTATCTCGTTTCGGGGCCGTTCAGCGCCTTACTCACAAAGTATATCGGCCGTTGAACGCCTTCAGATTCCTTCAATAGCACGGCACTTACAGCCAGGTCGGCCACTGCCAGATACATGTACAATCTCTCCCCGGGATCCGCTTTGGTGAGGATGAGCGGGGAGGAGAGATACACCTTGAAATCTTCGAAGGCAGCCTGACACTCCGGGGTCCATTCAAAAGGATTGGCCTTCTTCATGATCTGGAAAAAGGGAATCGCCTTATCGGCCAGTTTGGACAAGAACCTGCTCAGGGCCGCCAGACGCCCGGTGAGTCGCTGCACATCCTTTAGGCTCTTCGGGGCCTCCATGTCCATAATTGCCTTCACTTTCTCCGGGTTAGGCTCGATCCCCCGCTCGCTCATCATGTAGCCGAGGAACTTGCCACCCCGGACGGCGAAGGCACATTTCTTCGGATTGAGCCTCATGCTGGCCCTCTCCATGATGCCGAAGACCCTCTCCATGTCCTGGACATGGTCCTCCTTTCTCTTGCTCTTGATCAGGATGTCATCTACGTAAGCTTCCATTGTCTTCCCAAGTACGTCTTTGAACAACATCCCAATCATCCTTTGAAAAGTAGCCATGGCGTTCCTCAGGCCGAACGGCATGACGATGTAGCAATACACGCCGTCCGCCGTGACGAACGCCGTTTTCTCGGCATCATCGGGGTGCATGAACACCTGATGGTAGCCCCTGAATGCGTCCATGAAACTGAGCAGCTCACAGCCTGCCGTTTCATCCACCAGCAAGTCGATCCTCGGAACGGGGTAAGGATCCATCGGACAAGCTTTGTTTAGGTCCGAATAATCGACGCACATCCGCCAAGTGTCGCCCTTCGGGGCTAGTACCACGTTGGCCAGCCACTCCACGTGGATGACCGGCCGGATGTGTTTAATGCTGAGGAGAGTTGCCGTCTCCTTCCTGATGAAATCGCGTCGGTCGGCCGCCATGTATCTTTTCTTTTGCTGTACAGGCTTGGCGTCCGGCCGCACGGCGAGTCTGTGGCATATGAGGTTGGGGTCGATGCCCGGCATGTCCTCCGGTCCTCTGGCGAACAAGACTCGGAATCTCCGCAGGACAGCTATGACCCCCGCCCTGATCTCCGGCTCTAGATCTGCACCGATGGACACCTTCCTGTCCGTCGGGTCGTCGAGCTCGATTTCCTCCAGCAGAGTTGCTGGTTCCAGATGAGCATCCAAGTCGGCCTGTTTGGCCCTCTCAGAGATGCTGTTGACCCGAGCCTCCCGCTCGTTGAGCTTCTCCATCGCCTTCGTGTAGCAGGCCCTGGCCATATGCGGGTCCGTACGTGCCACTCCCACCCCAGTGTCGGTGGGGAATTTGATGCATGAGTGCCGTACGGAGCATATGGCCTCCAAGTCTTCCAAGCCGGGTCGGCCCAAAATGGCGTTGTGGGCGCATTTTAGGCGGACCACGACGAACGTCATGCTGATTCGGGCCGTATGAGGACCGTCGCCGATTTCTACTGGCAAGGCGATGGTGCCCTCGGCGTCGATGCAATCCCCGGTGAAGCCGGACAGCGGGGTGCGTAGGGGATGCAGCATGTCCTTCCTGAGCTTCATCCCTTCGAAAGCCTCCCAGTAGAGGACGTTCACACTGCTCCCGGTGTCAACAAGGACGCGCCGGACGATGGCATCGTTCACGTCCATGCTGATCACCAGCTCGTCCCTGTGCGGTGCTGGTGACATTGGCAGATCAGCGGGGCCGAAGGTAATTGCCTCGATCTTATTGCGCTTGGTGGGGGGTGCTGATACGGAACCCACATACAGTGATCTCTCAAATTTTTTCCGTTCGGCGGGTGTATCTCCTGTCTCAGCGCCCCCGAAGATCACCTTGATCTCCAACTTCTTCTTCTTGCCCTTTGGGCCGAGGGATCCCTCCGGACGTTTATCTGCACTCCGATAATCCACGTCCTGAGGTTCTGCCTCGCGCCGGTCGTCGCGGCGCCATGTCTTGTGCCTTGGGGTCGGCTTCTGCTGACTGTTTTTGTTCAGCAGCTGGGTGAATTCGCCCAAGTACCCCTGACGGATCAGCTCGTCGATCGCTTTCTTTAACTGGCTGCAGTTGTCCGTCAGGTGGCCGATCCTCTGATGGTACTCACAGTAGGCCGATTGGTCAAGCCCCATATACTTCTTCATATCTTGAGGTTCCGTCAGGAGGCCCTTGTCCTTGATGGCCTCGAAGATCTGGCTCACTGGATATGCCAATGGTATATAGCGGTCGTCCGGCCGCGTCTGGTTGTCTCCGGGGGGAGCCTTCCATGGGATCATCGCCCCGTCCAACCTCTTCTTTTTGTTTGGGGGTGAGGGCCCGGGTCCCGGTTTGGGTCCGAGCCTGTCCGCCATCTTCCTAGGCTGGGTTGCGGGAACTCCGTCCCGCTGCCTGATCTCCTCCTCAATGGAGGCATATTTTTGTGCCCGAGCCAAAACCTCGGTGTAGCTGGAGCCGGGATTCCTTCTCAGGTCCCGGTACAGATCCCCTGTGGCCAGCGCACTGGTGAACATGTTGGTGGCCAGACGTTCGTCCAGATCGTCGACCTGCAGTACCTCGTCCCTCCACCTCACCAGGAACTTAGCCAGCGGTTCATCCCGCCCTTGCTTGATGTGGGCGAGTGCCGTGACATCCTTCCTGGGGGTGGTGCTGGCAGCAAACTGTGCCATGAACTGCCGGGAAAGCTGTTCGTATGAATCAATGGTGCCTGGCCTCAACTGGCCGAACCATTCCTGAGCTGGCCCCCTGAGGGTGCTGAAGAACAACCTGCAGATGGCCTCGTCCGATGCTCCCAGCATGGACAGGTTCCCTTGGTAGCTTATCAGATGGGCCTTAGGATCACCAGCCCCATTATACACCAAGTTCCCCGGGGGCCTGCAATCCCGGGGAATCTCGACGCTCATCACCCGTGGAGTAAAAGGTGATGTGAGAGAGAAGGAGGGTGTGGCCGAGCCGGCGTCCGCCCGCCTGTTCATCTCGGCTATCTGCCTCTCCATGGCTTCCAGTCGTGCGTCCTGTGCGGCCCTTCCGGGGGACATAGGGGGCGCGGCTTCGGGGGTGGCGTTCTGCTGAGCGGCCACAACATCGTGCGGCCGCCTGAAGATCTGCGCACCTCGCCGTTGGAAACGTCGTCCAACGGTGTTGACCCTTGGGGTCTCGTCTCCCCGCGGAATCAGGCGAGGAACTGATGGTGTGAGAGCCCTGGATGCAGCGATGCTAACCCTGGTCCGCCCTCCCGTTTCACGGGAGCCTGAACCCCCACCTAGCCGCTCGTGGACGGAGGGCCGGTGGTCGCTGGAGCCTGTCGTATCATCGTACGACTGCATGCGGCGTATGGGAGAGAGGGGTGTTCGCTGGGTGCTTGCAGAGTACACCCGATCTCGGGCCTCCCGTTCATCGGCCAAGCGACGCATGGTATCTGCGAGTTCCCGCATGAGGTGGGGATCCTGCCTGGCCTCCAGGGGAATGAGGTCAGTGATGCCCCCGTTTCCTCCGGAGGTCCATATAGTAGCGGATAGTTCCGAGTTCTGGCCGCGGTTCCGGCGGCTCGACTCCAGACGCTCGGAGAGATCACGCTGGTTGTTGCTTCCTGACATCGTATTTGTTGTAGGTAGACTTAGCAGCTGTTTGGGAGAGTTTCTGGAAACTTTTTGCTCAGTTTCCCACAGACGGCGCCAGTGTTGAGGTTTATTCCTTCAACCCGTGGACCCAACACGTAAGCCCAAAGGTTTCGAGTGGAGTGAGTGTATGAATGTCTAGCCCAACAACTATCAGATGGATCAGGAGACAAAAGTAATAGCAGGCAATGTAAATAGGTATTATTAACTTCGTAATAACTCCCCTAAATACAACCTACTTGCTAAAAGGGCACGTCGGCCGTTCGTCTTACAAGGCAGTTAGAAATGCTCAAGTAAGAATGCTGGAGCTAGTATGCTAAGAATAGTAAGTTGTCAACCCTTTACAATGAGATAAATGCTTCTATTTATACCCGCCAATGGGCAGGTGGCTGTACTGACGTGGCAGCCTGTGGACCGCTGGTGTCCCAACTACCAAATCTTTAGCATTAAATGCACTTCCCGCCAGAATCTAGGTTTCCCGCCGGATCAGTGGGGACGTTCGTCCACCCGGGAAGTGAGTTGGATTGCTCCAAGTGACCCTTGAGGGATATTGGCTGTTCGTCTCCTGGCCTTGATAGATACTCACCATGTGCACTGGGTTTTCTCCGATGACTACAGGCTTGCTCTGGGGACGTTCGTCGCCATCCCTGGTGGCCCGTGGCTCTGCTCCTTGTCCCTGCATAGACGTTCGTCGGAATGAGCTGCTGGGCCTGAGTCCCCCAACACCAGACGTTCGTCCATCCTTAAAGAACATGGGCCTGTGGGCTGGCCTAGTTTCTAGCTGGACGCTCGTCTGGCAAAATGGGTTGGTGGGCCGGACCTCGACTTGGGCCCTTAACCCAACAATTTAAAAATTAAAGAAAGCAAAATCTAATTAAAGCTTCTCACTTGCTTCTTTTTTATATCCCTCCTAAAGCTTCCCTTTTTATTTTAGAGGTAATTAGCAGTCTTAAGTGACAAATTAATCATCAAGTATTTAAAATAAAACACATATATTTAGCATTACAATTATCATCAAAACATCATTTTGTTATATATTCATTACCATTATTTTTAAAATATAATAAAATTGCCTCTTTTAATTATGAAAAAAATCTAGTAATATTATTTCTAGGAAAGTGTAGACAAAAATGTTACTTGATGACTTTTAGTGCCTATAATTATGTGAGAAGTTACTATGATGTAGTGACTATATATAAACTTCAAACCTAACTATAGTCACTAAAAATTACAAAGTCACATTTTTAATTTTTCTCTGAGGATGTTTTCTTTTGGACTAGAATTTGCTGGTCTGGTTTGGTCTGATCTGGTCCGATCTGATCTGAACTGATTTGGTGTGATTTGGTAAATGTCTGGTCTCTGTTATTTATAACTACGGGAGTCTGATCTGGTCTGATCTGATCTGGTCTGTGACTGAAAGCAATTCAAAAGAAAACATCCTAAGTAACCATGCCATTTTTCACGAGTGAAATGTTTAGATTAATTTCTCATGATATATTATTCGTAAAAGAAATAATATTACCACGATTTGTGGGGAGCATTCTAATTAACATTTCAATTTGCAAGTGCTGAGGAGGAAAATTTTGTAAAAGTTACGTAGTAATATGCAGTTTAGAAGTTAGGAAATAGTAGTAATTAATTAGGTAACGGAAGAAGAAAATAATTGACTAACATATATAGTTCCATCAGTAATTAACGTAGTAAGGGTATTTTAGTACATGAGAAAGGAAAGTTTAATTAATAAAAGATAAGGTACAACATCTTATGCAAACAACATATTGACATAAAAATGGGTACCAATCATCATTCACCAATATAAGATTTTTAGATAATCGCAACAAAGAAATATTTATTATAATTGAAGGTTTAGAGAACCAAAATAATGTAGAGTACATCACAAGTGTGTTGGAATTATTCACTTTAGTGATGGCACATCAAAATGGTATCCGCTTACTCCACCTATCATTGGACTTTAAGAGTTTAAATTCAATGTTAGTGACTTAGCTCTTTTTCCGCTTATCAGTCATATCGGCCAACTTTTTCAGCAAACACGTAATTTTTGCTCTCGCGCACTGAATTGTGTAATAAGCAGAAAAAGCAAGGTTGAAATTACTTTTATGGGTGTATTGGCTGAAGTTACCGTAGATGACCATTTTAGCTATTTTTATATATAATTTTTCTTTATATAATTAATAAAATATATTTTAAAAATAATTTTTTCTTAAATCAGCAGAATCAGACAATGCAGCCACTTCAGCCAGAACTTCATAAAATTCAGCAGAAACAACCAAATTAGCTGATTTTCGTGCTACCAAACGGGCTCTTAGTCATTAAACCAATACCATTCGACTAATCAAAATATCAACGCTGGAGATTAATAGTGGATTCCAGTTCAATACATAAAATAAAGTGGGTACCTATGTACTTATTCTCTAAGTGCTTATTACATATACATGAAGCTTAGCTCGAGTATCTCATAATAATATACATTTAATATTCTAGAAATCATGATGTTAAAATTACTCTCTACGTTTCTTTGGACATTAGTATCATGTGCATATATGTGACATATTATAACATATGAGGTGAAGAGGGCTTAACACATTTTATTTATCATTAGAGCTAAAGTACAACATTAGTATATCATGAAAGGTTTGATGCATTAAATCTAGCAAAATAATTTCTTAGTACGCCCAGGAAGTAAAATCATAAACACTATTTCACTCTTCTTCTTTTGTAAAGTTGTCCAATTTTCATCATTCTCATAATCTCATCTCTCAGGAGTCTGAGATTTTTTTACGGAGTAGTTTATAAGTTCTTTTAATAAATAAATGGGCAACATGGTCATATATTACAAAATTGCAAAAAGTAGTGTCATGGTCATATATGATGGAGAAAAGTAGTGTCATGGTTTTAAACTTATAAATAACATTTCACCCGCATGAGTTGATCTTTCACAAAAAGTCATATCTACACATACTTTTTGGTCATCCAAATTCTAGATTAAGGAATCATGAGTAGTTTATCTAATGATATTCTTATAGTTTTCATGATAACTGACTAAATAGAGTTTAACTAACTCCAGTGATTTGGATTGTAAAAACTAATTATGCATTTGAACAATCTTAATAAGCTTTGTACTCTTACTGAAATGAGTATAACAATCAGAAAACGTGCATAATGTCATAATGTCATCACACATCTGATCAGTCATACAATAAACGTATTGATCAAATGGCCTTCTTGATTGCCTCAGTCATTACTTCGAGCTTCGTGGTCTCTCAAAAACAACCTCTCAACATTGAGAGATGAATCGTGTCTTGTGAGTTACTTAGAACATTTCTCCAAGCTGCGGATTATATACACCACAACACAAGGACACACCCCCGAGGCCCGGGCTGATTAAGTGTGTCTCGAGTTCGCAGCACAGCTCCCAGAAGAACCGCCATTGGATCGACCAATAACTCCAAATTCCCAGCATGTTCCAACTCCCATATAAGAGATAAACAATGATCGCAACATACTCAACCTAAGCTTCAAGGGCTAACATATAGCCAAAAGAGAATTCTTTCAATTTCACTTCCTTCTGTCATTTGAAGTACAATTTCTCGATAAATAGAGAATCTCAAGTGTAAAACGTAATTCATTAAATCTCCCCACTTATACAGTAGTGCCTATTTTAGTATGCCATCATGTGGTCTCATAGTTTTTGTAGATGGCAATGATGCAAACATACAGATATAAGAGTACATAACATTAACAGATTTTGTGTGTCCCAATAACACAAGTACATCTCTTACAAATTAGAAAAATAACTTACAGCTATGGCTTGCATTAAACCTTTGGTAATGCTGCCCCTGGGTCAATGCTAAAGAAATGCCAACTGGAACTATGGAAAGCTCGAAGGCAATCTTCTGAACATTTGATTCTAAACTCCTTAGAGAATTTCCTTGCAGCTAAGATATGCTTTCTCGGGTCCGCAGAATAAAGGTTCTTGCATATCGACATGTGATGCTCATATTCCTCAAAACTGTTCCCAAACAGAATTATATGATTCAGGAGATCAACCGTCCAATTCGCCTGCAACAGATTTTCATACAACTCCGCCTCACAATGTGGCATGAAGAACAGTGTGGGTTTTATTGCTTCTCTCCGGCCGTTCTCATTTATAGACAGAACAGAGCACCCAAGGGATTCCAGAACCCTAGATTCTGTTAAAGATATGATCGGATCAAATATCTCTATCTCTCCAATCCAACTAAGCTCCCTTTTCATCAAGATCGCAAGGCTGAGTTGCAATCTGGGCGGTTCAAATGATTCTATGCTGCCGATGCCATATATTACCATGCAGACCTTCGATTCAGGACCCAAAACCCGTCCAATCCGATCTGAGGTTTCACCTGTTTGTAATTGGTCTAGGAAGTTCAGCCAAAAGTGCGAGGTTTCAAGTTTCTGGATGCAAGTTTGCATCTTTTGCATCAGCTTTAATTCAGTTTCTGGGTCTGTTTCATAATCTTGTGGAGCCCAAGGTTGTTCTTGCTTTTGTTCTTCAGAGGGGTCACTTGTTTTGCAAGAAATCTTTTTCGGCCTTGGACGTCGACGAAGAACAACGGTCCAATCTTCAGTGGTACTTGAGTTGTTCTCAATAGAGCATGTTTTTACTGATCCAGCCATTCAATGGTTTTATAATAACCTAAGTTTGAGGGGGACATCCGTATTTATATTAGCTACAGATATATAATCATAACTGAACCCGAAATTGCATGCCAAAACTAAGGTTTATAAAACTCCTACTAATTATCATGAAGAGCACACAAAGCACTAATGTTCTATCAGGTTTAAAATATCCTTCTTTTAATCTTTTGTGACATCTTGGACGACTCTTCTTAAGAGACCACTTAACCCCCATTAACTCTGTTTCCCCTGGCTTATGTGACAGGTAAGAGGTCAAATGGCTCTTATTGGCTCATCTCCATATCCCAACTTCTTTGCTGTCTGTTATCATATTCTTCCTTCTTCTGATTGGATTTCCTTTACGGAGTTCTCAAATAACAAAATGGATAATTTCACTTCCATATGAAGAAAAAAAAAAATCACCACCAATATCATTATATTAGTACTCAAAACCTTAATCCTAACTAATTATAACTAAGCTCAGTGACATTGATTTATAGCGTGATACTATAAACTCACGCAAAAAGCATATTCCCGCTGTTACGCCACATCCTTCCATGAAAATTATAGACTTGTCACAATGCCACCATCATAGGTTATTTCTATATGCATTGAAATCAATGTAATAATATAGCGATTGAAAAGCAAATATACCATCCCAAAGCCATAATTATTCAATAAAGCTTTGAAATTCAGGAAAACAAACAAAGAAAAAAAATAAAAACCTGCAAATGCCCCAAAGAACAGTCGAATGAATGAGAATCATACACGGTACACCCAGACAATACCGTGAACTAGCGGCCAGGCAGGCTAGGTATATGAAACCTGCAAACTTTTGGCTTATATTTCCTTTACGGATTTGTCATAAAACTTAATAGAACTGTCAAAAATCATATGCTTTATTTATTTTGACTATATAACAGGTGATACTGATGTTATTTATCACTGTGTAATATTCATAAAAGTTCATAATAGGGGAGCAGTGTTTTCAAACAGTGGCGATGACAGTACCATGGCAGATGGCTGTGGCGGAAATTAGCGGTCAGGCAGCCTAGGTATATGAAACTTGTGAAGAATGGCAGTTTATGGCAGGTCCATATGGGGGAAGTTCTGGGCTTTTGGCAGCCCGCCATTATTGAAACTTCATGGAAGTTTAAGTTGAGAAGAAGGAGCATATTTAGGAATTTATTATGTAGGGGTAGTTGATTTCTTTATGTTCACAATAAAATTGTTTGCACTAGAGCTTCACTAGCCAGGAGCATAAGTGATTGTTTGAAAGAAAAAATCATCTACAACAAAATATATTATTAATAGTTGATACTATTAGCAATGTCTCTTTCAACCTAAAGTGCAACAAAGTCACACAAAAACCGTCTTCAAAGGATTTTCCTTTTTTTGTATCTAGCTAAGACCAAGGTATCTTTTAATATATAGTTAAGTACATTCACTAGTTTTCTGGAGGAAGGATAACAATGTTCCTTTTTTATTGAAGATAATTGTTTGTGCATTCTTATTTAAAAAATACACACACAAAAGTTGGAGATGGAAAATATACTAATAATTCAGAAACTGATAAAGATGTCAACCCACTAGCAAAGTAGAAGAAAATACAGTGCCAATGAATATCGATGCTAGATGCAGATGTCAATCAACTAAACGAAGTGAATAAAAAAATCAACTAGAACATACAGATTAATTTCGAAATCTGCAGCAGCAATTCCAAGATTCAAATCTGGATCAGGAGAGCAGCAGCCGTCTCCCAAAGGGTCTGGTGCGCCCTGAGCTTTGTGTTCTTCTAACTTGGGGTGGGGTAGCCTAAATTAAATTGGTGTACGACATGAGAGTTTTAACATTCAAAACAACATCAATACTAAATTACTATTGGGGTTAATATTCAATATCATGTTCATAACAATGAGAATATGGGATTGATACTAAAAATGAAATTAATACTCACAAATGGCTATATGTCTGTATATTAATGCAAATTTGCAAACAAACTGCAGAGTGTAACGGACTACTGCCGTCTGGAACACTCTGCACTACACAAACTGGCACAACTAACAAAAGCTAGACGGATAAAATTAAAATCACTATCATTCAAAGTTTGGGATTGCGAGTTCTGCAGTTTTTTTCATTTTACCTGGCGCTAGATGAGTGCACGAGTCAGGGGAGGAAATGAAGAGTGTCGATGTGCGCCGGCGCAGTGGTCGGTAGACGCGTAAATGATAATACTCAGGCGAGGGAAGCGGAACGGAGGCGTGGTGGACCGTGAACGGACACAGGGCGGCAGGTGAAGGCGCAACCGAGGTGGGCCGCCGGTAGTGCCAGGGAGGCTATGCGAAGAAAAGCAGACTCGTTCACATAAGGCGGAAGTGCAGCTGTGGAGACTTCAATTTTTTTCATTTGGGCCGCGCCTCTAGTGTGTCTGTGTGTGTAAATACCGACCGGCCCATAAGAAATCCTAGTAGCACAAAATTCTTTTTCAGAATGGGCTTTGATAAATATATAATGCTAATTTTTCCAATATTGGTCTTTGGACTCGGATAATTATTTTTGGGAAAATTTCAGAAATAGGCTAAAACGTGGAAATTATATCACTTTTGTCTCCTTCTAGTTTTCCTTTCAAAAATAGACGGGCGGACATTTTCTTTTCATAAATGGACTGCTCCCAGCCTCCCATAGTCCCATATGTATGCTTCATTTCCTCCCGGTTTCCCACTTTGGTGAACATTCCAGGTGGTGGACTGCTGGTATCCCATATGACACGCAAGCCACTTTTTATTAAAAGTATAAAAAAATAAAAATTCAAAAAGATTACGGAGTATATTACATAGAAATAAATAAAATTATAAAAAAATTAAATTATACTTGTATTAAAATATAAATAAAAACTCAAAGTCAAGAAAAAAAAGCGTTATAAAAGTTCAAAGTTGAAAACTAGTAAATTATGTTCAAAAATAAAATTAAAAATTAAAAATTATGTAGAAAATGAAAAAAATAACATGGAAATAGAAAAATGGAAAATAAAAATTTAAAAAAAGTTAACATGTTGGTAATTGTAAAAAAGTACATAAAGTTATCCTTATAATGTACATAGTATGTTTTTAAAAAATCATTTATATAATAAATATAAACTTTCAATATATAAAAAAAAATCAAAAGTTTAATAGAAAGGATACAATCCTCTTTTTAGAGTGATAAAATCCTTAATAATCCAAAAAACGGCCAAATGTTATAAAAAATACTGTAATTTATTTCAAACTAGTGAAAAACAATACAAAGAGTAAAAAGTCTTTTTTGTGAAAAAGTAATTATTTTTTAAAATAAGATAAATACAAATGATTTTTTTAAAATAGAAAAATAAATATATAAAATTTGAAAATTTTAAATTTGCCGAATTGTGTTTTGTAATAAAGAATAGTAAATACAATTCATAAAATTGTAAAAAAAAATAGAAAAATAATATAAAGTAAGAGTGTAAAACATATAAGAAATTGAAAAAAAATAAATTATGAACATGGTGAATTAATATCGTTGGAAAGTACCTGATTTTTTAAATTAATTGTTATCACTATCATTCTATTAGTCTTTTGTTGACTATTGTTTATTTTTGTTGATAATTCTGTTGTTTTTTATTGTTTATTCATGTTTCTTTTTGTTGATTATCATGAATCTAGATTTATTATTTTGGGTGCAAGTGTGTGTTGTTTTATTATTTGAAATAGTAAAAGTGAGCGGTAACATAAATAAACAAAAAATCAGCAACAAATAAGTGCCTATCAACAAAAAGCAACAAGATACTATAAAATGCAACATCATAAAACAATACATAATAAAATAACAAAGCAACACAATGCAACAAATAAGTGCCTATCAACAAAAAGCAACAAGATACTATAAAATGCAACACCATAAAACAATACATAATAAAATAACAAAGCAACACAATGCAACAAAGTGAAACAAGATGCAACAAAATGCAACACGTTGCAACAAGATGATGCAACATATGCAACAAAAAGAAAATAACACATCAAAACAGAATTATATAAGCCCAACATACACAAATGTTCAATGATTACATAGTACAATTTATTTTTCAACTTTCATGATCGAAATTATAATTACAAGTTATACTAAAGTACAAGAAATTGATGCAGTCAACCAATAATAGTGCTATCCTCCATCCAATTGTCATTGTCTTGACAGTCTGCTGCAAAAAAAAACGAATAAGAGTGAAGTTATTATTACAATACGAGATTTCAGATACTATAGTCATTCCATGCTAATATTCATGATGTAAAGAGAATATGACAAAGGATCTAGATGTTAATTAAGAAGAAGATAAGAAGAAAGATGATCAAAGCAAGATACATAATAGTTTTGTTCAAGCTAGGTTCTTTTCATTAAATGTAGTTGCAGTTTAAATGGGAAGTTTCCAAGAGGCTAGGTGCCTAGGTCATTTCTGTGTGAACCATTTCTGCTTCATTGATTGAATAAGACTCTTACCCTACACCATGAAATCCCACAGAGAATAAAATGTCCTTGGAACTCAATATGAAAAAGGTGATTGTGTTTATTCATTCATTTTTCTTCCTTTACCTTTCAAATTTCACACTAACATCTTAAACCAAATCATCTTAATTACGTTTGTAGCTTTCACTACTCTATAAAATATTTCCCTAACAATATTTTGTGATCACTAAATCTTCTAATTGTTACCCCGAACAGATAGCAATTGAAATCATGACTTTCCATTCTTACCTGGGGAAGTCTAAGATATAGATGAAAATATATCAAGTACAGTGCAATTTTGGATATAATAAAACAATTTGTAAATAAAACAAACTGAAAGTGAAAATGTGGAAATCTAAAACACTAAACATCATGTGATGGAGGAAATATCAAAGGAAATCTGAAACACAATACAAATATGAAGGTAGTCAACAGAAATACAATGACAATTAGTAAATTTAAGGAGAGATGTTAAATTGTCAATACACACTTCAGTACAATTATATAGCTGTGTTTTTCATATAAGAATGTATAATGTTCATATAAAAGTAATAAACAGTATGTATGAACACAATTTCAATAAAATGCATATGTAGGATTATGACATCAAGTTTACCTCTAGTTGTTACACTTACAGTTGGCCTTCCAGGAAGTGTCCACCAAATAAACGTGTTTAGATTGCTTATTAAATTATTCTAAGAAATTATGTAGCAAGCTACCGGAGCCACAAGTACGGAGTATGAACACTCGATAATACATAAGTATTAATAGATCATATTGCATTTAACAAGTGCGTAGTCAAATTCGTCTTATAGGCACTAAATCTTAACATTTGTCTAACATAATTCGAAGAGAAAATAATTGATGTTTATTTTATTCAAACAATAAATGACTGTAAAGCATGTTCGTGCTTCGATTGTGAAGTGTTTTGTGCGTAGGAGGGAAGAATGAACCTTGACAGAGGCAAGAACAGGAAGAAGAGGCTCGGGATGAGTGATATCTTTAGCCAATATTCTCCACAGAGCCTGATAGCTCCACTAAGAACAAGTAGAGAAGTCGTCTTCTCAGATATTGAACCACCGCCATTATCGCTCATTCCTCAATCCTCAATATACGATCAGTCGGTGGCGGTGAATTTGGTGTTATCTTCCTTTGTCGGTTCGTCTCTCTCTCGATTCCTCTCGATTCCGATAATCAGGATTTCTGGATAAACTTGTGGATGTCATTCGATTCAAACGAACGGGAGCGAGATCGTCCGAGTTGATGAAGCTCGGGAGAATGGAGAACGAGGGGAGAGACAGAGAGTAAGTTTAGGTTTTTAATTTGGGATTTTAGATTTAGGTTCGATGTGTTGGATTGATCGGATACTTGGTTAGCGTTAAGAGTAAGACTTTTTTGAAATAGAAAAGCTAAAACTGAAAAAGGGAAAGTCTTTAAATGAAAAGTAAATTATTAGTAGACATAAGTGAAATGCATCTCGATAAAGTGGACCTAACTGGATATTTCCACATTATTTTTAGGGTAAATCATCACACAATTACTAAACACAGTCACAAAATTAAAATGTAATGAATATTTATTTTCTAAATTTCTATTTTATCCTTCTGCCCATCGGCACACATACATCATTCATTGTCGAAGAAGATGAAGATGGAGGGCGTGTGCTTGAATTGTTCATCACCGCCAAGCTAGATGGAGAGGCCCTCACCGACCTATGATTCGAGACCACAGATGTGGTGAGGAAGGCTTGATCGGAGCGACTACAGCAGACTTGACCTGGAAGAGTCGTTGGCTTGCAACGCGGGCCAGGAACTTCATCGCCGACCTGCGGCTCATCAGAAGTGGCTAACGTGAATATCCAATGTCGCCCTGAAAGGGTGTGAGCACTGAATTACCTCCTGTAAATCAGCAAATATGCAGTCTGCGAGAAGCGGGGATCTCATGGAGGGGTCCTCCATTGGAGCCGCATAGTGGCACGAGAGGGCTGCTGATCGTTGGCCAATAAGGAGCACCACAGATCTGGAAGCTGCACCGCTAAATCGAAGAGGCTTAAAACGGTGATACAGATAATGATGGGAGAGATCATCAAAACCGGTCGGAGAGAAAAGTGAGCCGTAAAGTTGCAGGCCATAGGGAATTTTCAATTGTTTTACGGACTCGGTGCTGGTGGAGGTCCCAGGCCATTTGCAGGTAATTTTCAGGAAGTTTCGTGGAGTGGTACGCGGCTTACTGCCGTTAGCTTCTTTGCCATTCTGGAAACGAATCTTCAAGCCTTCCTGCAGCGACGTATTTCACACATCGTGCCTTCTCCGCGCACCAACAAATGTGCTAGGCGCACCCACTTTTCTCAAGGAATGGACGAATGTGTCCTATGAAGGCATGAAGCACTCTGTACTTTACTACTCCGTAAACATTAGTTACTCCAGACTCATTTACTTGGTCATGCCGCATTATTCTTTTTTTACTTAATAATCTTTTTTCTACTTCGTTTCTTTCTTTCTAATTATATAGTGACTTTTATATTAAAATCAATAAGGATGTTTTTACTCGTCTGGTCTGGTCTGATCTAATCTGGTCTGATTTCTTCGTATTTTTATAACTACCCAAGTCTTGTCTGATCTGGTCTGGTCTGAGATAAATTATAGTCCAAGTAAAAACATCCTAATACATACCAGACAACTTTTGGATAAATTTTACAGATTCAATCGTGCTTCAGCGCCTTATTGATAGGGGGGCGGAAAATCGGCCAAATTACGAAATTGGTAAAAAAAAAGAGGGTCATCTCACAGATTGGTAAAATAACCAGTTGAGACATATTGCGGAAAAAAGAAGCTCTAGTGACAAATTGATCAATTTTTTGTGAGTGACAAAACTTTCGATCCCTGACTTTATAA